TGACACTTTTCGTAATTTGACAATAATTCATTAAATACTGTGAATATTCACCCATCCACTGGGACAGGTACTGACACTTGACTGGCTGATTGAGAATAATGTCCCAAGAGCAGTCATTGAAGGATTATACATGAGAGGCTGCAATTCAAAACACAATGCAACTTACGAGACCTAAATATTGCATAGGCTGCCTCAACATGAATGTCTACTGAGCTTAAATACCGCTAGTTGTACATTGTACATGGGCTAGTTGTAATTACTGCTCCCTACATCATGCTACATGTACGAACTTCAGATTTTTTAGCAATTTTATTGCTTCATACAAAAAAACCCCTAAAATATAAAAAACCAAAACCCAAAAGATCCAACATGTTATTAATTATTAAGGATGATACACGTATACATAAAAGTAGCGACTTTGTAAATTTATTTTAAAAAAATAAAATTTACAGACAAAAAATTTCAACTTAAAACATCACAGGTGCCTAAGAAACATAGGCAGAATACCGTATTGCAAAACGAAAACCTTGGACAATGTCTGCCTGTCGACCTCCCATAATTCATTGCAGGTGATAACACAAGATTTGCACCGCCAATGGCAATTTTGCTCAAACTCAAAGTATTAAATTCATAACTAAATTCATTTCCAAATGTAAAATTTTGAAATTTTACTCAATCTTTCTGCTTCGTAATTTGTCACTCCGCAGAACTTTATATTTGTAATTTCTGCACAATGACAGATGTGCCCAACAAAATCCACTCTTGCACGCTTGGAGAGTTTATAGCCCTCAAGACATTTTACCAATATCACTCAAAGGACAAACTAATGCTATTTATTTACTGAACTGTGGTTAAGCTAATGTACCGGTATGTTTTTCACATGCTTCATGTCTTCGGGACTTGAATTTTGCCCAGGAATGGCAAAGGTCCTTTATCACACCATTGCACACAATTCAGTCCTTCATTCATAATACATGCTCAAGTATCAATTACATGCTTGAAGAAGACGAACATGCCACCAACAACACATCATTGCTTCCTGCAATTTATAGACATTAACTTCATGTACTTACTCTTTGTGTGGGCACCCTTCTTCTTCTGATGTCATTTGCACCACTTTTGCCATAGCTGTACAAACGTAAAATGAAAAAAAAAATCATGCATTACTTATGTTCTCATTAACACAATTATTTCCAGATTTAAATTTAAATCAAGTTGAACAAATCCTTCATATGTACTTGACAATGCATACAATTTACATGCTAATGTTCCTTAATTTTGGAAAAGAACAACCACGCATATTTCAGTTTAATTTAAAAATGAGATTTGTAATTACTTAGCCTTAGAGTAATCTAGCACATAAAAACAGCATGTTTACTGATGTAAACATAATTTCTGCATACATAACCACTTTTTTATATTTTGATTCAATAATGTATTGAATCCCAGTTAAAACGTCAAAGTTAAAAGATGTAGAATTTCGTTGCCTTATTTTGAGGTAATGTATCAGCATTGCTTCGTGTATATGTGTGCATACAATTTTGATGCATGTTCACGAGAATACACCAACATTTTATACAATACTGCACAGGCCACAGGTTCAAGTAGAAATACGAATGAATGATGACAACTTTCCATTAAGATCAACAAAATATGTAATAGTGCTCCCAATACGGTAGGACACAATGATCCATATGATTACAAGCATAATTGCATCTTCATATTCATAATTTGGCCAATTATCTTCAGTCTTGAGAACAAAATTTAGAAAACAAGCATAAGCGAACCGCTCAGTGCACACTGCGTACAGTCTCCTTCACAGCCACTGGATCTGGCACATGCACACGTTCATTACGCACAACGAACCACACACAATTCATGTACCGGTTCATGTAGGCAAGTTACTATATTGGATGGTCAGCAATTGCAGTCAGGAATTGCACTCATTACAATTGTGAACCACGGAACTGAGGGTACGCTTTTCCGTCTCATGGTGGACGACCATTTTGCTTAGTGGTTCGACCGCTTTTCTCACTACGACCTACAAGTACATGTAGTTATATTAAATCAAGCACCCTGCTCTATTTTTGTTTCATGCCGGTCCAAATTTGATTACCGATTTAGCACTAGAAAGAAGAATTTATTCCGAGTCTATTTTTACGTGACTCAATGCTGAGTATGAAAAAGTACATCTGGAGATTTCCAATTTCAACTAAAGTAGAAAGTCACAGAATTCTAAAATTTAATTACACATCGCAGAAATAGTTGCACTGGAATTTCACTCCACTAGCAGGACTAGAAATGAATGAGTTTCCTTTTTATTAACGAGCACTGAAAAGAAAAAAAAATTCCTTGTGTAAAATTTTTGAAAGAATCTAGAATTTTGACAACAGTGCTCAAGTGATCTATCACGTTTTGGGTCGCAATAACGCTATGGCCGGGCTGTAAAAAAAAATGGCAATACACGAACTACTTGCATCAGTCCTTCTGCTTGAGTGATTTGAGACGTGCGATTGCATCCACACGGTGCACGCCATCGCATGCTTAGTAAATGGTAAAAGCTTCCCGAGAAGTGCAAATAATCGCCACCTTAATCCCTCTGTATTGCATTCATTCACTTTCCTAGTGATCCTGATCCTGTTTAAAATTTGGTAACAATGTCAATGTTTTTCAGGACCTCGGACCGAAAACATTTTGAAAAATCGAAGATGGCTGATGAAATGAATGGCATTACTGCATTCTTTCTCTGATCTTGTACCGAGTCCAGATAATTTAATTTTCTGATCGTTGAACAAGTTGAACTGAAAAGAAGCCTAGGCCTATGCCTACTTTTCTCAAAAGAAAAAAAAGTGACCTTGTTTTCCCACTTCAAATTTAATCAATTCAATTCAAAATCTGCTTCACTGTTCACATTCATGCATCAAATTCCTGAAATCAACTTGGCCCCGCATGTGTCTTATTCCTCCATGCATGTACTCTCCAAGAATGTATTAAACACCTGTAGGATTTGAATCACACTGAAGAATGCGCCGGTGGTACAGCACCACGTTTGGCTTTGGACTACTCACTTCAAACCAACAAATCTTTCAGTTCCACTGAAGACATAAAATTTGTTGTTTTCCAGCAGGTCCAGCGAGTTGACGGAATGGCCTTGAGTCGGCGTGTAAAGTTTACGGATTGCACCAAAAGACGGTTTCTCTTTCGACGTCAAACTGTCTAGGAAAGATTCCAAAGTTCTGGTCTGTTTGAAGTTGACAATCACCCGCTTGGCGTTGTAAAACTTGTCCCCATTTTTGTACAGATGCACGCTCCGGGCCGGCGGGGCGACAGCCATTTTGTGAAGTTCGTCTTTCCCCGTCGTACTTCCAACTTTCCCCCGTTTGGGGTAGCGTAGCAATCTCGTTGAATTCAGCTGCAAATAACACAATCTGCAACCACTTTTAGACTTCCAATTTGTTTGAGCACTCAAGTATTTGTAAGCAGTGTCGCTTGCTTGGCTAGATCACATAGTTTTAATTATTTGTGCAAACTTATTAAGCTAAGTACGTAAGTGACGACAACTTGTGGAATATCAAAGTACGGTACGGTACGTGTTCGACATGTTTACTGCACAACACGCGGCATCAAAGAACTGTTTACGCGAGGGCGCTGTTGTTATTGTGCTTGTCGTCCGTAGTTACGGCATGAATAATTCATAAGCGCAAATGCTGGCGCAGCATGCAGCATACCTGCGATTTTCCGCACAAAAAAAGAGGCCGGGATTTAATTTTAAAAAAAAAAGAAAAGAAACACAGGAGCAAAACTACAGTTAAATAATAATATTAAAAAAAAACCTTTAGAAAGTTATTCATCCGGTTATATGCAATGACCAACGACGATTGCAACCGAACACTGACATGGGCGTCGTTGTTTTTTCCGGGGGGGGGGGGGGGGGGGGGGGGGGGGGGGGGGCAAAGCACATTGAGGTAAAAAAAATCCTGAACTTTTTTACACATATTCTCAAGTTATTATATTGTGAGCGTAGGCAGGGGAACATTTGCCCTACCCCCCCCCCCCCCCCATCAAAATCACAGCAATATGGTTGCGCTTTGTAAGGCGCGTTATAAATTATTATTATTATTATTATTTATACTCCCCCGGCCATTTGTCCCTTTTCCAGGGTGGGTGGCCGGAATTAAGCAAGCTCCCCCTTGCCCCCCCCCCCGCGACGCCCATGGATACTTATTTTATAACCCAATAATGCAACTATTTCCTTAATTAGAAAGAAAAAGCAGATGTCTTTAGGCCGCCAGCTGCCGCCCCAACTTTGATCAAAATTCTCCATACTTAAGATGAAAATGTGGCTACATCACATTCTGCACGTCGTCAATTCTGTGGTCACGCGGAGTTCACTCCTTATCACCGTTCCATTGTCTGTTCGATAAGATCAGTAATGAGAGTAATGAGATTATCACCTATAATCGCTTGCGGTCAATCCTAGTATAACGGACATCAATACACCAATTTGTGAGGGAGATAGGGGAGGGTCGTTGAGGGGGGGGGGGGTGTCACTTTTCAAAATTATGCTTTTACCCGGGGAGGGGTAAAAATGTTGGGAGGGGCCACCGATCGAGCGTGTTAAAGTTCCTTGCTGGCAAATCCCGCGCTTCTCAAAACCTTTCAGATAATGGTTATGAACCCGTCCTGCGAAAACCGAATGGTTGTCTGCCGCAAATATGTAAACAATATTTGAAATATCTAAAACATTTGTTGTTCGATGTCTTATTCAAAAGAGAATAACTTGCTAGGAAAAAAGGAATTGGAAAATAAATCTATTCGGTCTGAAACTCGAAATAACACGGACACTCATCTTTAAGACTGCTTCCATGAAACACCGACAAGCCCAATATCAAAACCTCAATTTATGGACGAGCCCCTCCGGTATTCTATGGCAAATACTTGTCACTCTTAGCTTGCCCCCCCCCCCCCCCCCCAAAAAAAAAGAGAGAAAACATACTCGCTTACGTTTCAATATTAATTCAAACAGTTTTATTCAAAGATATATTTACAACATCTGATTACAAATATTTCACAATAACAGAAATTCCTAACATCACGGCAATGTTTTTTTTTTTTTTTACACATGTGCATCAGGAGGAACCCAAATTACAAATTCCACAAATCAGGAGGAACCCAAATTACAAATTCCACAGAAGAAAACAGCAAATACCAAAAAAAAAACATTAGAAAGAAAAAAATATTACATGACAAAATATACTAGTAGCTATATCAATAGGTCATTATTGACCAGGGCCCAATGTTATAGAGAGCAAAATATTGCCTGGCAGATTTATTCAATGAGCATAAATCAGATGAACACCAGTAAGAAGCATAACACACTGCATGACATTTTGGTTGGTAACCGAGTTCTTGCTAAGAAATATTGAGCACCATGAAAATAGTTCCTGATAATATAGCATCTGCTCGGAAAATAGTTTCATATACAAGCACCGCTACCAACTTGCACTGCAATATAATAATGCTTAGCCCGTGGCCGGCCGTGGACACATATACATGTAGTTCAAAATAAGAATGAGATTTTCTTTGTTTATTAATGCACTGCATTATACTTTTATATAGTAGAGGGCGAGTCACAAAAGAAAAAGAAAGAGTGACTGAATTAGAAAATCAGCTTTTTTTTCTTTTCAAAAAACACACACAACAAAGATGGATCAAAGCATGGATCAATGAAGTCTTTTTTTCACATGCGTGGAAGACTGCTTGTTTTTAGACATGCTTCATTAGTTTATCAAATTTGCTTGCTTTTTAAGGGGATTAATCCAGGTCTCTTTCTTTTTGACTCACCCCATAGTTGAATACTCTTGCATGATATATACACATGTATATCCTCTATACCCTGAGAGCGTAAGGAAATTGGAATGCCTAAATGTTAACTCACTTAAAGTTGAAGAAACAAAATCCATGTTAGATATGTTGTGGGAATATATAGGCAAGAAATATTATATTTCAAAAGAGTTACATTGTATATAATTTAATATTACAGAAGCTATAGTAAGGTACCGGTGTTAGTGTTTGCTTGTTAAAAAAAACGTTCAAAATAGGGAATACATTTCTGGCTTACATAATGGTTTAACTTGAACCACAAAAATAACTCTGTGTATCAAATCTTTTTAGGTTACATAATATAAATTAACAAGTTTATTTGTACTTGATCAAATAATAAGAAAAACTAATAATAAGAAAAACTAAAATAAACATTAAATTCAATACATTTTTAAAAGAATTTGTACAAAAGTGTTTTGGTTTCTTCAGAAAATGCCTTATTTAAAAGTTTTGACAATTTCAAATAGAATTTTCCATATGAACAGCTAATGCTATCAACTTTCACAAATTAATGTCCATACTCATTTCTAAAATGTTAAGCTGGATGTAAAAATCAGACTAATCGTGACAACAAATCCAAAATTACTTTAGAGAAGCTCTGGCAAGTTCTGCTTAATTTTGACATCACTTCACAAATGGCTGAACACTTGCAGTGATTTTTCTTCAAATTTCAGTCACATGGTCATCAGGAAAACATATTGGCCCAAGTGTGACAGTCAAGAAGCTGCACGTTTGACCATCTTGCCTTCTTTATCGACTCAGAAGCCTTCTTGTTGCATTGCAAAGAAAGAAAATTAAAACATATGAAAATCAGTGTTGTTGTCCAATACACTGTACTTTCAAATTTGTTACATTAACTGTCAGACACCGAGAACAAATTCATAACACATTCATCTGTAATATGCACATTACATGAATAACTTTTGAAAAGAAGTGTGGTATTAGTGGGAATTGCTCTGAACTTTCAGAGAGCATACTGTGATACATTGCACAACTGGGCTGTTTGGAGATCACAATGTTGATCAGATGTGCGGCTAGCCACTCCTCTTCTTTCTTCCCCCTTCCCCCTCCTTTTTTTGTGGTCTGGGGGAGGAGGGGAGGGTTAACCCCCCTATCACTACGTACACCGCTGCATCAAGTGTATTCCAGCCTCAACTGGATTCCAGCATGCTCCTGAGAACAGACAGAGTGGGCTTCTCTGAAAATATGAGAGCATTTCTCACCACTAGTTCTTATCAGAACCACGCTGCCACCATACCAACCAACCAAAGTTCTGTTCGCTCATTGCACGCTCCCCCATAAGCATGCAGAGCCTCGATCTGGCAACTTTACACAATAGAAATAGACGGTTCAGTGATTCCCGGGTACTGAACCCTACATGGGAACCATTGAACCGGCAATTTTTATTGTGTAAAGTTGCCAGATCGAGGCTCAGCATGCTTATGGCGGGAGCGTGCAAAGAGCGAATTGCTTCTTACTAAAAGCAAACACCCACCATCAAACAAGGTACTGAATGGCTTGTCAACTGTAAGTGTTACCATGATAAATCCATGCAGCAAGTGCAATATAATTATATTACCCTCTCCAATAGCAAAATATTAGCCTACTATGTACCGGTAGTTATTGGCTTTGTGCACAAGCACCCGGTTAGTGGTAAATATGTGGCATACATGTATTTACTTGCAAAGGCATCTCACAAAAAAAGTGTTCTTGATGTGTTTTTTTTTAAGTGCAATGTGTAAGAAATTAAAAGAAACATCTTTTTCTAGCAATGCTAAAGTTATTCGTGACGAAATTAAATTGAAATTGAAATTGTTTATTTGTCTCTTTCAATGCTCTCCAAAGTAAAGTACCTACCGGTAATACAAACTGCTCCAATAGTGCAATATGTGCAAAAGAATGTGCACAAAAGTGGAATAAATCAATATAAATGACAGGAAACACATCAAGAACTCTACCCATGATGAGATCCATCCAGCCAAATAAATATATGAACAGAAGAAGAAACAACAGAATTATATTTTGAGCTCACCATTTTCTTTCTAGAGAACTTTGAAATTCACATGTGAGGATAAAAAAGTTGAAATGTTATTCAGTTTCTCTTCAACAAAGGTACACACATGTCATAATGTCGCCAACATAATTATGTACAGAATCAGGCTACAGACTTTAAAAATACAATTTTTTAGGTGGAACTACGCTTGAAATTGTGGCGCGAATATTTTTCAGCAACCCTATTGGTTGAAGGCCAGTGGGCCTTTGTTACACCTGCATGTGAGAGTGGAGTTATCTTCGCGATGGCATCTATTTTAGGTCGCCAAAATGCACCTTTGTTAATTTGCAAAACATGTAATATCATTGAACATTATTTATGATATGTGATCGGCAGCCAATTTTTAAAACTGAACACAACATTTTCCTGCATTGGTTACAAAACATTACTGACAGTCACTTAAAATAAAATTGGTTTCCAAAAAAGTTACTTGTAACACGTGTATTAGTCATTAATTGCAAAATGTACCGCATTTTGGTACAAAATTCTGCCACCACCTTTTGTGAATACTGTTGCGTTGTGCATAGAACAATTGATGGGAAAATCAGGCTTAAAAAACCCGGTGGATTTCCATAAAGGCTTATAGACTCTATGATGTGTGTACGTATGCACAGAATTGTTACCCAACCATAGAATGTTATGGGCCCTGACCCATGCAATCTCATACACCTGCTAATCAGGAGGTTGTATTTTTTAGTTGCTGGTTCAATTAATTTTCAAAATTCATCATTAACATACACCAATATGAAAGTTAAACTGTACAATATAAACACACATGCCCATTTTTTTTCATGCACCGTTGAAAATATGACAACCATTACTCTTTTTACAATCTTAGTTCCAAACTGGTTAAATTTTGCTTTTGGGGAATGATTATGTACATTTTGTATTGCTCAAAGTCAATGTATAATAAAGATTCCTGCCACATTAGTAAAAAATGTTTTTGCTAAATTTCAAGCTAGTTTTGATAAAGCTTGGCTGATGTGTTGCATCATTCTGAACGATTTACATCAAAGGTCACATAAATACCGGTAGGCCATTAGAGTTTTTGCCTTTTTAGCCACTTTTTGGAAACTCCCAACATGTAGTTTCCCCAACTGCAGCCATGTTTGTCTTATTCCTGTACTGCTTTTGGGAGACGTCATTATGAGGTCCGTCACTGCATGGTAGGCACCAGCCTAATTTGATCATGGACCACACTCTGGACTACACTTTCCAAATCAGGGAATGAATTTTCCATTGTGTTCACTTTTCATGCCAAGGTGCACGGTTATTCAAAATATTCAGACGCTTTTGCTTCAGGATTTGTTCCTGCATTAAAACTTGTTGGCAACAGCTTCCCAAAGCGATTCTGATTACGATGGCAGCTTAATTTGAGTAACACTAATGTTAATTCTGAGTAAATTAACGGAAGTGTGACACCTGTCTCATCAGCGCACATCGCAACGGACTCATGTGCACATGTTCCCCTCTTAACGGTTACAAAAAAAGGGGGGGCCTTTAAATGCATTACAGACAATGCCTGACACTCTCGCGCAAACACAAAATTAGTCTTGTGTAATTAGAGCGGGAACCAGTGCGTGCACGCAGTAGCTTTCATTGGAGCTCTCGTCAGTGGTAGAACAGCGCCACCTACTGTGCAGGCACAGAGTCCAATGAGTGTGGCGTCCATCGGTACCCGTCTGGGAACGTCTATTGCACACTAATGATAATGGAAACCCTGGATCAAACTCCTCGATGTCCTGAAAACTTACACAGGTTCATTAACATCTTGGAGCTCCGTGCCGGCCTCCTGACTTGGCCGGGTCGCCGGAGAACCAGTCTCAACGGTCTTGGTCGGCGGTTTGTAGGAGAACAGCGCTGCTAGGAAAAAGGAAATGGAACCAATCTTGAGACAGCCGGAGAGGATTAACGTGAAGCGGCTGAAGTTGGCGTTGCTGTAGAGCCAGCAGGTGCCCGAGCCATCGCAGTCGTACTCCCAGAGCAAGCAGGCATGGTCGATAATGGCGCCGAAAATGACGGGGCCTGGCACCGTACCTGCAGCAAAACAAAGGGAGGCTTTGTTAACCCAAACCCCTAAGGCCATTTTACAAGTACCTACATGTTCCCCGAATCCTACAAACCGAAGAACAAAAAGCTGAAGTTAACCAAGTCATACAATTAAAAACCTACCCAATGCTCTGTAAAACAGCGACTGAAGACCCAGAGCAAACGAGCGCTGAGAATGAGGAACACATCTGCAAGGAAAAGATATATAGGGTTTAACAACAGAGATGAGGTTGAGGCAAAATGAAAAAAAATCTACCATCAGCAGAGGGTTTCAGGGTCGCCATGCATCCAGAGCAACATAGTGTCGATAGTGTATGTATGGCATATGTGTAAGGCACCCCTAAAAATACCCATTTCTATGTAAACTTTTTAAGGGAAAACAGCTTATAAATTGTAGAACCTCAGGAGTTCTAGATTTCAAAAGGGATTCTTCAAAAACCCTGAAATCAGGAAAATCATGACCAAAAAACCCTGAAATCAGGAAAATCTTGACAAAAAAATCCTGAAATCAGGAAAAATCATGACAAAAAAAACCTGAACTCAGTAAAAATCATGACACAAAACTCCTGAAATCAGGAAAGTCATGAGAAAAAACTCCTGAAATCAGGAAAGTCATGACAAAAAAATCCTGAAATCAGTAAAAAATCATGACAAAAACTCCTGAAATCAGTAAAAATCATGACAAAAAACCCTGAAATCAGGAAAATCATGACAAAAAAACCCCTCAAATCAGGAAAATCATGACAAAAAAATCCTGAAATCAGTAAAAAATCATGACAAAAACTCCTGAAATCAGTAAAAATCAGGACAAAAACTCCTGAAATCAGTAAAAATCATGACAAAAAAAATCCTGAAATCAGTTAAAATCATGACAAAAAAAATCCTGAAATCAGACATGTCTCACCCCTGTAACAATTTTATTCTGCAAAAGTCATGGTCATGTACTGCATATCAACCTTCAGTTTATGAACCGGTGATACAGTTTCCTTCAAAAGGCTTTTCAGAATTCCAAAAAGAACCAAGTAAATTTAAATTTGAATGGAAAGTCAATAATAAATAAAGAAATAAGGTATTCATTACACAGGTTTGAATCTTTAATGAAATATTTCAGTTGAACGAAGGAATTTGACATAAATTCTTTGCTCACCTAAGTGTGGCTGTGGTTGCCGGGACGACAGCCAAAATGGTGAAGAACTCCAATAGGAAGAGCAGAGCCAGGAACAATGGTTGCCATTGGCAACTGCTGGTGCATTTGCCGGAGACGGCAATGGGATCGCCATCGTTGACGCTGTCTGGGACGGTGATGCAGCTACAATTGTGGTAGGACTACATGAAGAGAGAAAATATTCACGGAATTGAACATTAATTGACATGGATTCAGCCATGCATGCTTTTATTTGAATCAATATTTAATTGAACAGCACAGAAGACATCAGTCACCCTATATTTTCATGAATGTTAGTACGAATCGTGCCAATCATTTTGAATAATAAATCAAACAAGAAAATAGTAATGGCAAGATCAACAACATCACAAATGGACTCCAAAGCACAAATTTCATTCTGGGAAGTCACACAAAAAAAGAGGAAATTCAAATCTTTCCAAGACTTTATACAGTGTTTTTCTATTTTCAATGGCACACATTGGAAGTGAAAAAAGAGGAAATCAGCTGATCCGAGGAAAAGTTGCATGCCTGCTTATAACTCTAACATCTTGTGTCCATTTTGTGTGGGATCAACTTGTGATCAGTCGTGAGAGCCTACAACCTCTACAACAATGCAGTTAGTGGCTGGCCGCTTCAGGACTACGTCCGATGATTACGTACCTTGATACCGCTGGATGGATTGACATCAGACATCTCACATCCAGCATGGCAGGGCGAGTAATACATGACGTTATCTACTCCACAGATCGGTTCAAAGGTATCGGCGCAGTGGCAGCCAGAGTTACAGGTGGATGAAAGGTTTGTTCCTCTTTCATCGTAAAACCGACTGACAAAACAAAATTTGTGAAAAAATCACTTTACACAAATTAGCACTTTACACAGCACTTTTTAATGCGTAACCCCTTTATAGAGATCCTGACAGCTGCCAGAAATACAAACTGTTTAATGCTGTCCTCATTTTTTTTCCAGTGAGTTAAGTTAGAGATCTTCAAAATGTGTTGGCATGATCTGTCGTTCTGCGTGATTGTGCTGCGCCATTGGGCAATCGTGCCACCATCGGGCCATTGCACAGCGATCGATTGATCACGCAGCCATAAATCAATCGCACAAGAAAGTGTTTGTGCCATCCACCGATTCCTAAATGCAAGACTTGCGCGATCGATTGGCAGGAACGTGTTTGCACGAGCGGTCGATCGTGAAGAGTGCGATCGGTCGATTGTGCAGAAAATGGCTTTGTGCGATCAATCAATCACCTCTTCAATAAATTTGTTAACACTCACACAAAATATTCTACATATCATCATCTCTCCACAATTTACTAAGAAAAAAAATGGAATCTCTGTAGAAATCTCTAAATGACAGATACATGTACATGGAAATTGGTGGTTATCAGTATTAAAAAGGGTCCATCATTCAGCAATGTGGCTAAAGTCATTTCAATAGCCTTTCACTCACTTGTTATCGTAATCTACAGTCACCCCAGCAAAGTCTGGATTTGGACAGCTGATGAGAAACGATCCAATCATGAATAGAGAGACAATGAGCATAGCCAGGCAGAACTTGATCATTCCTTTGAACATCAAGTTGAAATGTTTGACCACCCAGCCGCCGATCACGGAGCCAAAGACAGCCGCCGGAATTACCGTCAGGCCTGGAAATACAAAGAGTGGATAAGCAGGAATTATATTCAGCACTATTTGTCATTGTACCGCCCAAAACCGCCCCAGCACTGCATGGTTTAATGGTTTCTTTAAGCAAAACAATACAATGCAGTACATGTGCTAGAACAGTCACATTTCAAGTTTGTAAATGTGGCATAATTTAAAAGGTACATCGAGTACATCATTTCTTGCATTTCAAAGGAAAGAATGCACCTACATTGTATTCCTTGGATTCTCCTTGGGGGCCATGCATGCCATGGGTGTTAAAAAGACTCAGACTTTATTTCATGTAACTGCTAACCTACAAATCACCTTTTTAAACCTTTTGTCATGATAGGGTGATAGTAGTAGTTTCCTAGACCCTATGGTTCTTCTAAGAAAGTAAACAGCTCAACAAATGCAGACGATGTTTACAAAAATTATTTGAATAGGGCCTTGGCTAACGCATTTATTTTTAAATATAGCATTCAGAAATGATGGGAACTTAGGACCATCATCTGATTCTTTGATGTCTACTGCTATACGAGATAATGTATCTGACAGATTAAGACACTTTTTCACTTGCTCATTTGCGGTTGGGACAAATGACACAAAATATCTTTTGTGGGTTTGATAGGGTCCAGTAAGACCTGGTGGAAATGCAACATTTTGGGACAGTATGCAGTGCCAGGAGATGATGGGCAGAGCATACTGTCCAAAACCTTGAGTTTCGACCAGTTCTTATCGGAACCACACAAACCCACAGAAGATATTTCATGTCACATGGTGCAACTACAAACTTATTCATATTGGTGATTTCACCAACTCTACTCTGCAATACTGGCAGGCAAGATAAAACCACATTATTAAAAAAAAATGCAAAACTTAAAAAACCAAACACCACACACCAACAACAATGGATGCCCATCCTGATGTCAGATTAAACTGTGACTCCAGGAACTTGGGAGCAAAGACGGCAAAACTAGACAGGATGAACCACTCGGTGCAGGCCGAGGCAGTGATGAACATGAAGGGTAGGTTCTTAATCAGGACTAAGACGGCACGGGGGAAATCCCGCAGGCTGTTGCCGAATCCCGTCCGGGCTGAGAAGTCATGACCGCCATGGCACTCAGAGACGCGAAGCTTGGCGAGCTTCTTCTGACCTGTGAAATTAGAAAGAAAAGATTGAATTGCAACAATTAGTCTGTGTATCAGTAATGGTGAGTAAGCTTTGATACCACACTGCTAAAATCGGCGAGACTTGAATATGAAAATACTTATAGTTTGGCTTAGCATAAATCTGAATTCGTAAACACCACATCTTGTAAATATAAATAAATTATTAATCATCTTAAAATGTACTGCCAGGATAACAGCTTGGAACAAATCAGCATTTGAAAGTATCAGAACAACAAAACTAATCCAATTCAAAATGTGAACGACTAAGAAAGCATGAATTACATGTATATAACATTAAATTAAACGGGTGATAACTCGAGATTGAACCCTGAGGTACCCCATAAAACCCTGTAATCCTTGTAAAATCTCAAGGTACCAGTAAACTTTGAGTACTGCCTGTTCAATTTTGCATTCTCACCTAAGCAGGAAAATATTGCTTAACTAATCTATACGTAAAGATGTGCTCAACGTTCAAAAGGCCAGGACGATTCACGTTATTAAGCAAATATTGTCTGTGTTGAGTAACATCACGAAGTTGGCCCCTAGTCATGGTTTCCGCAACAATTATCATCCCGGGACAAAGAATTATTCTATCTAAACACCGCACAGATATTCTCGGGGACGGTAATTGACTCAAGAAGACCGACATATCCATATATGGCTTTCAAAACAATCGGACGAGGCTCCTTCGCTAATAAATGGCGTCATCCTGTAACGCGAGGGTAACATCCAGGGGCCTCCCAAAGGGGGCAGGCGTATTTTGGAAGAAGTAAATTAAAGAAAAATACATATTTCCTTTGACAACACGACCACGCGCCCCAGAAATCAACGTATCCTGCTTGTAGAGTTGTTCCGGAGGGAGTCGCTTGACGGCTGAGACTAGATAAAGATGAGTGATGGTGTTTTTGTTTTTTTAGACATTAATTTTGGGCAGCTTGAAAAATATGAGAAAGGGCAAATATTTTTTGTTTTGGTTTTTGCTTGTTTTTTTTATCTCTTCCGGAGGGGCTTACAAGGCATGGGCACTGCACGTCTACGAAGGGAGTTGGAACCGTGCCAAATGTGTTCTGATGTCAAACTGAAAGCAGTTTGTACTTAGTAACTTAAAATATCTAACCAACAAATTTTATATTTCTCTGGACTCTTGAAACTTGCTTAATTAAAGGCCATCTGTCTCTACCACATGTACACGTGAAAGTGAAAGCGAAGGCAATTTGATGTTGTAATGGCTGTTCATCGGAAATGGGTATCCAAGTAACCGACCACTGATGTGAGTAACCACTTCCAGATTACGAATCGCGTACTTTACGAATTAATTAGTACATCTCAGACAATGAAAAAGAAAGGTTCTGTATTTGTGGGGAATTTTCAACATGAAAACCAGGCTACATGGAAAAACAAAACGGAAGTGACGTTTATGATGCTCGCAAAAGTTGCAGTTTTCACCATAAAGCTAAACCTCACTGTACAAACATGAGTTTCTGTACTGACGCACCGATGTCGTAGTATTAAGACTTTCTTTTTCATTGTCTGAGAAATTACCAAGTATTTGTATAGTTGGTTACAGGCGTCTGATTTCATAATCTGGAACCGTTCCAGACATCAGCGGTCGGATGTTCCCTGGTACCCAGTTCCTATGCAAACCCCTACTTGACTCAAGTCAGCATTTCCTTGAGCCTTTTAGAGTTCCATGCATGTAAACCTCATACCACCTTGGGCACTATAACTTTTGCCCTTTTTGAATAACCACCTCTGAAATAGATTAAAACAGCACTTTGTGGAGTACATCTACCTCTGACCTTTAAAATGATCAACGTGAACTTCCTTGACTTCTAATCTCACGCAGCCACTGGCAGTGTGTACCGGTACCTACTGTGCACACTTTTAATGGCTGAAAGTGAGATCCCTTTTTGTTGTTCTTTAAGAGCAAGAAAGTTATATTATAAACAGTTAAAAAAAATAAACGATGATTAATTATGCAAAGCAAGATGGGGTCTTGACCTCTAGATTTTGACCATTCAGCGGGCGCCTTCTATCAGGTCTTCGATGTATTACAAAAACATGGTAGCTAAATTGACCAATCAACAGCTTATTATATAGTCCACACTCCTGTTCAAAATGACCTAAAATTTCTAAAGTCGACTCCGATTGGCTGGCGCGGGTTGCATAAAAATTTGCATTGCTCACATATCAGACGTTGGTTAGGCTCCTCCGTTGTACCGTACGGATGATACTCGGACTAGTTCAAGTACTATCCACAGAAAAAAAGCCAGACAAAAATGAGTCAATTGACTTTCTAAACAAATGACAAGTCTGCTACAAGCAGACCTACAAATGTTCCCACATGTCTCTCTCGCAAAACGCAGGCAACATTTCAAGCCAAACTGTGCACAAATACCCTACAGTGTTTCTCACTGCAACTGAAGGAAGGGGACAACAAACAGGGTGAGAGTTGTCCAGGCTGATGTGGTAACGGTCCCCAAGGAAGTATCCAATATCGGACAAACCAGATGGCTCCGAAAGAACTTTCCAAAACAAATTGCCTTGCTTCCCTTTGAGTCTGTGCTGGCTTAGACCCTGGTAACCTCTTCAGATACTACGGGTGAGCTCACATGCAATTGCGATTGTGGATCTACAATGTACATGTAGGAAGAAAAGTTAACATTCAACTGTGTTGTCCTGGATTTTATTGATTCAAGATGCATTCCCTACATTTTTTTTTAGATTTTTTTTCTAACTTGCTTCTTTACTAGCAATACATAAGTTATTCACTCTTGAAGGAAACATCCACCGAAAAAAAACTTGGCCCAAGTTTAACTTAACACACAAGGGCCATTGGCATAAAACACACAAGTTGAAAATTCATTTACCGACCACATGTACCAGTACATAATACATGAATGTACAATGTTAGGGTTTATTAGCTTACCGGAAACAGCATTTTCGGAGAACATATGGCTCAGATCAGATTTACAACAACTTTATTCCACCGCTAAAATTGGGGGAAAAAGCGCTTAAAAATAATGATAAGATTTATTTTCATGGCCTTACCTGGCAGAGCTTTAGGGAATCCTAGGAACGGTAGAACGATGGATAACGCCAACGTGCCACTGATGAGGAAGCCTACCCACCATGCCCCGATCCAAAGAGGGCTGTCAGGGTCTATACCCAAGCTGCAAAGAAAATCAGGGGGAAAAAATCAGAAAAGTTCCGATAAGAGTGTTTTTATTTTTTGGCACCAAACTAATTATTTTTTTTGGACAATATCAATGTGCCACTAATGAGGAGTCAAATCTGTGCCCAATTAAAGCTGCAGGGAGAAAGATTGACAAAAAAGCTCTGGTTAGTATTTTTGAAAGGAACATCATTATTACAGTTCCTGTAGCTAAGTATGGTATAGTAAGAAAACTAAAACAAAAGGGGGGGGGGAGAGAACATACATGCACAATTTCTTGAAAACATGCCTTATATATAGTTGTAAATTCAAAAATGTTGTTTCTTTAAAAGAGAATAGAATGAGTTTTAATTACAATTCACATAGCTTTAGTTGCCAATCCTTAAGTGTAAGCTTCCTGCCAAATATTGTGTGATTTGATCTTTATGTGGCGTGTTAGGCCTAAGTGTCAACAAAACTACACCTGGACTCTTGTAATGGTTGACACCCTCATTATTGGTTTGTTTCCATTGTAAACAAACTCATCCAAAGGTCTCTTGACATCTTTTAACCCTGACCTGCATTTTGTAAATTGTTTTCCCCTGGAGGACTTCGGACATAGAGTGTGACCGGAAACGATTCTTACTCTACGTTTTTATCTTCCAATGCCAAGATCGTTGTCAATGTCGGACTGTACACAAACCAATCAACATCATTTCCGTGTTCTCGTGGCGAAAACTGAACCCTGAAACCTTATAATTTCCTTTTCCTTTTTTGAAACCTTGCACGCATCCACACAACCTTTATTCATGGAATTTCAACATTGTATTTTGAAAAACAAAATGCAAATTTAGAAGGACTGTTTTGTGGATACAATCAGCAGCTTTTATTCCATGAATAACCAACCATTGTTATTTTTAAAAAAAATTTAGAAATATTTTTTATGTACATGTACACAATTTACAGACTTTTTAACTCAATTGAGCTGGATACCGGTATGTACATGTAAATGCATGCAGCGATAGAGCTCGCTTATCAATCAGAAAGTTTTAGACACCAGAACATGATAAATTCATGAAATGCCTAATGTGAAAATAAAGGCAGTAAGGAATGTGTTCTGATTCTGAACGTACAAAAAAAATTATACACCAGATGTAACGGTATGGAAAAAAATGACCCAAGATTCACAATGAACTACATGAGTAACTTTGAAATCGCCTGTTAAATTCTCAGCCCAAAAAGTAAAATGACCTTAAAAACATAAATCTAAACGCTTGTCTTTGCAACTCTTAGCTCCATGTGGTAGGGCAGTTTATATTTTTCTAGTTCCGTATGTCCACACTGTAAGCCAGGGGCATATTAAGGTCACGGTTGGGTCAGACTACTGGGCGTAATTCAGTGCAGCTGTAAACATCAATTTGCGTTTAGCACCTCATAAATCCACAGGCAACTGGACACTGCCAGGCAAATCAGATGACATGGTGTGTTGGGTGTCAATGTGGCAGCAAATTGAAAGCTTTTAAGACTGCAATGGGCATCCGCATGAAAGAAACCCTGCATGTACATGTAGTGTGTGCACATATGTACAACTATGCAAGGGTGCTGAAGCATTTTGCTTGTGTTAAAAAAAAGAGCCTCATGTTTTAACCCTGTCTGAAAGGAAAAACAAAAGATTACTTCTTTTGGGGAGGTTCCTTTTTATTCAATGAATTTTAAGGGTTTCCGTCAACATTTGTACATGTACAAATGTATGTATGGATACAGCTCCCCTTTTCACCATGGCAACAGGTAGGGTTCCTCAAGACCATTTTGGGGGTTGGGAAGGACCTAATAATGTTGCAAGAGGTACAGATTAATGGATATGTTGGAATTGTTTTAGAAATCCTCGGATAAATGAAGTCTGCTTTAATTTTTGAAAATTGTGGAAATGTGTGTTTTGTTATGGGGTTTGAGGTTTGGGTTTTGAGTTTGGATTTTAGGTTGGGTTTTTGGTAATGAACAGTTTGACTTTTCAGTTGTGAGGTCTGTTTTTCTTTGGGTTGGGGTGGTTTTGTGTGTGGATTGGTGTTTAGTTTGGTTACATTGTAAGATAATTTTGGTTTGTCATTGGATTTTTTGTTTTGTTTTGCTTTGCTTTATTGATTTCATTTATGAACTCAGATTGTACGTAATCATGCATTTCTTTACCTGCTGGAGTCCACCCTGATGTCTGTATAGATGGAGAGTAAAGCACCTCCTAGCAGGTAACCAATAGCAGGGCCTAGAAGAGAGGCAGCATTGAAGATTCCTGTGGTACAGATTAAAAGATTAAACATGTAACTGAGGATCAAGATTTAAAATGTACATGCATACATGCAGTCAATATGTACGTATATGAAACTAATTTGTAGAGATCTACGACCTCTCAACTGCACTAAACTTATTAAAATGCAAATCCGAGTTGGAAATAAACAGAATCAACTGCAATCTCCAATTCATAATCAATAATCAAGTTTTCTAATTCTATGTTTTAAAGTCCCTGGGCATTCTATAATGTTCAGAGTACATGTAGATCCCCAAGGATTCAATTCCAGTCTGTTAAAAACTAACTGTATGTGGATGATCCAGTTTAAGAGAGGGATTTTTTAAAGGACCTTGAATTTGTGATTCAGTAGCATTTCTACATGTTAAGGATTCCATCATTAACAAATCAAGATCTTGACATTTCCCGGACTAACCAGTGATTTTTCCGCTGATGTCTCTTATCCTAGGATTCCAGGTTCATGAATGATTCAGACCAGATGAACCTAACCCAGGACATTAACATTTCAAATATTTGAAAATGTGATAAGCCTTTGAGGAATATACAGTTACATGTAAATATGAAACCAAAATGTTTACCAATGTACAGGGATGTCATCTTTGGTTGAACATTCTCATCAATGTATGTGACACCTAGCGTGTACAGCGGTGCCGCACCAAGTCCATGCAGAAACTGCGCGAACACAAACAACCAGAAAAAATTGGCGAGGGCGCTCCCGGAACCCTCTACAGAGCACGCGTCTGTGATGTTACGGTCAAGCTGGCACAGCTCAAAGTCTGACGCGCGAAAGTCGTAGAACGGTGTTAGGAAGTGAGGTAGAGTGAAGGTGTAGGAGCCCAGGGCAAACAACAGGGCCCCGGCACCTAGCCAGAGGGGCTTGTGTCCACGGTCACCGAGATAGGTCACGAAGGTGATGACGATCATGACGGAGAAATCGTACGAGCTGGAGATGGAACCACTACGCACGCTGGGGAGGTTGAAGCGACGCTCTAGCGTCGTGGTGACTACGTAGACGAAACCGTTGACGGTCATTCCCTGCGTCACCGCAAACAGGCACAGGAACAGTAAGATGCCGGGGGGCTTGTTAAAGCACTGCAGGAAGCGCGGCCGCAATCCGCGCCAGCCACACTCCACTTCTGCTTCCAGTTCTTCCAACTCCACCTTCTCCGCTTCCTCATCTTCGTCATGATCTGACAGCTTGCCGTACCCGTTCACGGTTTTCATTTCTTTGCTCTCGTCGTTGCTTGCCGTGTTCGGCAATGGAACTTCTGCATCTGCAGTCACGTTGTTACTGTTGTTGGCATACTGGCCTGATGGGTCCAATTCGGTGTCCGTGTTTTCAGTCAGGGGTGACCCGTTCGTCTTGACTGGAGAACTATCCATTTCATCCAATGGTTTATACATGGAGTTTACAGATGATGCACTAAAAACAAGTCAATTGCAATGCTGCTTTTCAAATCTTCATCAGGCTGAAAATCTAGAAGTTGATTACAGGCAACTCCTGTCCGACAAAGCGAAAACACATGTATACCTCGTCACAAGAATTCACAGTTTGTGTGATAAGCTCCGCAGCTGTCCGATCACAAACGTTCATCAACGGAGATGCCTTGTGTGCATCACTCAACAATGACTTTCTCCTTCCAGTTCCTAATGCAAGGGAATATAAAACAAAACTCAAGATTAACGACAAAATGGTTGAGTGTTGTGACCAACTTTCTTGCTCGCCTGCAGTGTCCAAGTAACGTACACTGTAGTCACTAAAAAATGTACAACTGAATTTTTCTTTTATTACTTGAACTTGGTCATACATTTTTTTAATTTTTTTATTTTGGCCCTCCTCAAGAGAACATGAAGCTAGTAGAAAAACCACAGCTAAAGTTAATAAATTATGAGCAGGGGGCATGTTAAAGGAACAAATTATGGACAGTTGATTTAAAAGATTGGCTAGATGGAGCTAACACAGCAGAAGCGGGTATCCGGATATGTAACATGTACATCATGCATCTGGACATGACCATCACTCATCAGTGAACAGATGTACTCACAACATGTACATGGCCCCAAATACACACTATGTAAAGGTTCTGAATGTATCCCGGAAACTCGTACTTGGACTTTAGGATCAATTCCAATAATGCTTTACTGTGCCCGAGTGCAGCATGTATGCTTGAACACCTGTGTGGCCTAAGCTAATGTGCTTAACACATGTTGCAAAACTAGTCCAATGGGCTCTCACTAGATTAGAATGTAGACCGCAGTACAATTACCCACGTGGCTTAGGGCTACAAACTTCAACATAAACTAGCATCTAGTAGTATGTCTCCTTATTCTGTGAAGTGGGTTGCTCAAAAAGACATCACTCCTGGCTGGGGTTTGAAGCCATAAAAGCAAAAGTGACGAAAATTCACGGTGGTGCCCACACGAGTAGCGGGCATATCTGCACGATTACAACTTGACTATGGCTACAGTACAATACATGTAACAACCAGACACATTTCCCTTGTTGCTGAAAACAGGTTAAGTATGGACACATCACTGGTCATTGACTTATAAGATATACAAGTATGTATCCTGTCTGGGGGTTAAGATAATACCCCACACGCCACACTGAACATTTCTGCCCATGGATCCAACAGCATCGAACCACATGATCAGGAAAAACCACAGTCAAGTATAGCAGCTGATATGTAAGGCTCTTCAGATCTTTTTATCATGCACTCACAATTTGCAGGCTAGCTGTCAAAGATGTTCATACTGTACATCAAGGCCATGAATCACCAATCCTGGGAAACATTCACTGCCATAATACAGTACCACTCTGTCTCACTATATATATACTGAGTACTGCAACTTTTTACAAGATAACACCTACCCTAAGGTACACATGCACACACCATAAACCCCATTCACCAGACAAGGTCAAGCTTTTTACCCCTGAAATGACAAGTGATATGACGTGCCCTGGGGCCAAGCTACAGGGATCAGGCATTCTGGGTGTCAATTTACAAGAGTGGGGGGGGGGGGGGGGGGGGGGGAGTGATAGATGACAGCTTGTAGGTATACCATGGATATGATGGGATAATTGTGGAGATTTGTCAGTGGGAGGGGATTTCCTTCCTGGGTTTTAGAAACGGATACCTGGATTCCGATTAAGAATTGAAAATTATTTTCTTCTTTCATGTAAGGCTAATGTATACCTCACAGGAAAGCGTACCAGTATTTTACTAGCCCTTCTCACCTGTACTACATTGCATAACGAAGTGCCAACAAATTATTTGTGGGGCCTTAGGCACAGGCACGTCTGAGGCAACATTTTCTTCATCTCATTAATGTATTGTTTTGTATCAATCATTTGAACTGTGTTACTTTGTCCAGTGTTAATTTATTCAAAGTCCTTTCGTGCTTTGGTAAAGTGATCCAGTGAGACAACTCAACACACATCAGCGGTATATTTCCGACAAACGGACCTGCACCTTGCACTGTACATAACTCGCCCACTCACGAGATTCAGTCCCAGAGTCATCTAAACCGGGATTAATTAGCAATTCCGCCAAAATAATTCATAATGACCTGTGCATAAAATGTACATTGTATATCCCTGGATAAAAGGATATGTGCTGGTACCTTTTTGTTTTTACTGTAAAATGTACATGATTTAATGCGCTTCTGCAGGCTGCACCTGCAGTCCAGATGATCTTTGTACCGATACTATATTTTGTACGGTATTGTGGCGGTCGCGCCGACAGCAACCCCGAGTCGTCCTCGGCCGACGTCAGCGAGCGGTCAATTCTGAGTAGGCCAAGGGAGCAGGCCCGTTTTGGGGCAGTCTACCGCCAGGCGCAGCAGGGGAACAACTTTATCCGCGGGCGGTTCTTACGCCAGCAGCTCTCGCGCCAGCACACACGGGAACAGGGCAGGGGAAGGGAAACGGGGCACCTCTAAATCAAACACGGGACTCTTCACTTTAGGCTGACATTCCTTTATTATAATCTACTCAGACAGACTGCAAATCCTCTCTAGACCTTGACAGGTGTTGATCACCTTCCCAGGTGCCTCCCCTAAACAGGTGCGGGTTTCCTTAACAGGTGCAAGTTTCCTAAACAGGTGCGAGTTTCCTAAACAGGTGCGAGTTTCCTAAACAGGTGCGAGTTCCCTGTACAGGTTATAAATCTTCCACACTAAGTTAACGTCCACTCACCACTACGGCCTCGCTACCTATTCCCGTGGACGGAGTTCCTCCCCTCTTCAACTGACCGAACAAGCCCCCGCTAAACTTATCCCAGTAAGAGCCCCACTTACGGACACAGCTGCCTACTACCGCTAATCTGCACGGGCGAGGGACTGAATAAACACGCTCAGCAACTGCGACGCACTACTGGTCACCCGTGTCTCACTACTCTGGTACGGGACTGGAACGGTACTGCAACGGAACTGAGGAACTGCCACACTGAGCGCGCGCTCGCGCTTTTATACCCACGCGGCAAATAGACTGGTGCCGCGGCGCATTACGCGCATCAGACCTGGCTGACGTCTAGGTCGCTGTCTACTTTACAGCTACGATAGCCCCTGGCTACCACCAAACTGCTATTGCGCCACACAGCCGCGCCTTAAGTTTCGGTCAGTCCCTTGACCGATTAAACTTACAAAAACTATAAAAGCAATACAGTTTGTTCCTAATAAGGTGCACAATGTTGGTCCGCAACACTTTTAAACTAGAAAAGGTATAAAACTTGAAAACTAGAACACTTAATAAACTAGAAAAGGTATAAAACTTGAAAACTAGAACACTTTATAAACTAGAAAAGGTATAAAACTTGAAAACTAGAACACTTTATAAACTGTTACAAAACTTTATAACTTACAAAACTTTATAAACTCTACAAAACTTTAGAAACTTTTCAAAACTTTACAAAACTTTATAAAACTTTAGTTGAAACCTGTCAGGCGCAAACACTTCAATAACTTATATTTACAGTTAAACCAATAAGGGCTTCTTAATGGTTCCTTAGAAGGTGTTATAAGCTGCTGGAGTTCTTTACTTGTTCACGGCCACCCCGGCAGTGAATGCGACTTCGTACACCCGTGTGGTCTTGTCCTTCATGATTTTCTGATCATCCTGGTACACCACTCTCGATGAGGTTTCGGTGACTCTGGTGACCTTCCCTGCCATGGCTTGTTCCAGGCCTTCTTTACTGTATTTCCCCCGGTCTCCTCCACAGGTGTTACTGGTACCTCCACCTCGGTTGACACCGTCGAGCCGTCATTATCTCGCTCATCAACCAACTCTTCAGCCGCGCCTAGCTGTGGTCCCTCCGGTGGAGCTCCCTCCACTTGTCTCGTCCGTGTTGGACTATGCGTCACAGGTGTCCCCTTCTCAATCCACATCTCTGGCGTCTCACCTAAGTAGGGTTTAAGCCGATCAAAACACACCACTTTCTTGCCCCTCGGCTTCCGCTGTATCCGATAGGTGACATCTGACAACTTGTCAACAATCATGTATGGTCCCTCCCAGCGCCTTTGCAGCTTCGGCGATAAGCCTTTCTTCTTACTGGGATTATGGAGCCATACTAATTGTCCTGCGTCCAGCATTGTTGTCATTGTCTTCTTATCGTAGGTCCTCTTTTGTCTTCTTGCTCTTGCTTTCAGGTGCTCTCTCGCCCGCTCATGGGCCGACCGCATTGCTTCCCTCAGGCTCGAGTTTCTCATAGACTGCAACGGGGATATTTCGCCTTCCCTCAGGCTTGCATCTCTCATAGACTGCAACGGGGATATTTCGCCTTCCCTCAGGCTTGCATCTCTCCTAGACTGCAACGGGGATATTTCGCCCTCCCTCAGGCTTGCATCTCTCCTAGACTGCAACGGGGATATTTCGCCCTCCCTCAGGCTTGCATCTCTCCTAGACTGCAACGGGGATATTTCGCCCTCCCTCAGGCTTGCATCTCTCCTAGACTGCAACGGGGATATTTCGCCTTCCCTCAGGCTTGCATCTCTCCTAGACTGCAACGGGGATATTTCGCCCTCCCTCAGGCTTGCATCTCTCCTAGACTGCAACGGGGATATTTCGCCTTCCCTCAGGCTTGCATCTCTCCTAGACTGCAACGGGGATATTTCGCCCTCCCTCAGGCTTGCATCTCTCTTAGACTGCAACGGGGATATTTCGCCCTCCCTCAGGCTCGAGTCTTTCATCTCACGCACCTCCGCCTGTAGCTGCAATACCAAATCTGCCAACCGACTTGTTTCCTCCCTGTAGCTCTGAAGTTCCGTGGATTCTCCTTCGGCATCTACCACCACGTCATCCATCGGCAGCAGTCCCCTTCCTTCCATCGAGTGCTGACCCATGGCTAAAAACTAGTTGTTCTACCCACGACGCCTATCCCACTTCTGACACCATTTGTGGCGGTCGCGCCGACAGCAACCCCGAGTCGTCCTCGGCCGACGTCAGCGAGCGGTCAATTCTGAGTAGGCCAAGGGAGCAGGCCCGTTTTGGGGCAGTCTACCGCCAGGCGCAGCAGGGGAACAACTTTATCCGCGGGCGGTTCTTACGCCAGCAGCTCTCGCGCCAGCACACACGGGAACAGGGCAGGGGAAGGGAAACGGGGCACCTCTAAATCAAACACGGGACTCTTCACTTTAGGCTGACATTCCTT